ACCACTGCCAGTAAAGGAGGGTGGAAACTGGAACTACTGGTGTGTAGTCGTGGATGGATAGATGGAATTGGCACACTGAGCATGAGAGCGCTGAAGAAACAGCTGTGATGTTTATTTATAGTAGCACAAGTACAAATGGCTGAGACGGTAGCTGCAGTGCAGCTTTTCTTCCTTTTGTGTTGGTTTGTATTGACAGCGTGCAGAAAATCTTATAACAGTCACAGTTTATGTTGATTCTTTGAAAACATCACTAGTTGTTGCAGAAATGTCTGGAAACTGCTCCATCTGAGCTGTTGCACACACAGAGGTGTTGCACACACATCTCTTCTCCACGTTACCCACAGTTGTCGATGAGAATCGGTCGCCATCTTTAAAGGAGAAGAACTCTGCTCGTTCTTTCTGTCTGACATGAATCCTGTATAACTGAACCAACGTGGCCCTCTGATCACGGCTGAATTGTGCCATGTCATGTGACATGTTGTAACTCAATTCTGACTCCTGACTGACGGCATTACTTATGATGCTTGTGCTTCCCTGGTTTCAGTGAGGATCAGCTGACAGGAAGCAGCCAGCAGCTGTAATGTTGAGAGTCTCACCTGTGTTGCAAAATGCAAAGCAGCTCATCTTCAGAGTAAAAGTGCCTGTTAGAAATGTATAGCACTTTATTATGCTGACTGTTGATCTGGGAAGTCATTTGAAAAGTAAACAGTTCAACATTTATTGGGCTGTAAAGGCCCGTCCTTCATGCAGTGTTGGCACAGTCCAAAGTGTGTCTATAAAGAGTCTTATTTTCTCAGCTGTCTGCCGGTTTGTTAAAAGAAACTTGGCCCAAGTTTGCTGTGTGTTTACTATGCTGATCAACCATAATACTTGACGATCTCCTAGAAAAACTCTGTGATCTCAGCTTTGCTGGGTACCAGTAAGTCATAAATGCTGTGCAGGTGCAGTGTGAGGGTAGAAAGAAGAAATGAAATGCTCAGAACTCTTAATTAAGGCTAAAAGTT